TTAAGGAGCTACAGTCTCATTTTCGTAACAGGAGGTAAAAGCTAACAAATCAAAGATCGTCGTACGGATTAAGAAGGCAACAATCTAAGAATTAAATGCAGAAACAGTTTTTAAAAAACTAAAAAATGCCGGCACAGTGGCTCACACCCTGTAATCCTAGCACTCTGGGAGGCCAAGGCAGGTGGATTGTTCACGTTCAGAAGTTCAAGACTGGCCCAAGCAAGAGCAAGATCCAGTCTTGTCTCTACTAAAAACAGAAAAACCAGACAGGCACTGTGGCAGGCCCCTATAGTCCTAGCTGCTTGGGAGGCTAAGGCAAGAGGATTGCTCAAGCCCAAGAGTCTGAGGTTGCTGTGAGCTATGATGCCACAGCACTCAACCTAGGGTAACAGAGTTAAGATTCTCTTAAAAAAAAAAAATTTATAAATTCCCCCTGTGACCCTTGAGAAGGTGAATGAAACCATCATTTTTCAACAGAAGTCCTTCTGAACTACTGGATTTATTACCAAGTGCATAGATCATTTTGACAAAAATAATTTTCTACCACACATTTCAGAAAAGCCAAAACCCTAAAATTATTACTAAAAATTAGGAGTAACAGCCAAATGCTACAGCCAGACTTATACTTAAGAGAGGGATAAAATCATCTTTCTTACAGAATTATATTATTCAAATAGAAGTTTTCCACAAGATGAAAAATTCGACTGAAACTAGATAACTTTCTTCTTTATAAGTCTCCATTTGCTGGTTTATGTACAAAAAATATGTATTGTGTTTATAACCAGAAACGTTAAAAAAAAATTAATGTGATCAACCTTCAAAGTGAGTGTGCCAGGCTGCTGAGAGCCCCACACCTGTACACCCCAACCTGGTTCATCAGAGTTAGAGGACAGCAAGAATAATGCAGCACTTTTCAGAGGTCGGGTGTTTTTTTTGTTTTGTTTTGTTTGAGAAACAGAGTCTCACTTTATTGCCCTCAGTAGAGTGCTATGGGGTAGAGTGCTGTGGTGTCACACAGCTCACAGCAACCTCCAATTCCTGGGA